GCCAAAGCCAAGGATTCCGGCAAAGCTTCGAAGAAGGTAATTCCTGATAGGGTTTTTAATTAAGTGTCGACTCTCACAACTTGGACAATCCGAACGAGGCGTCTCCAGAGCGATGATCGAATCATAACTGCAGACGTCGGCAACTCGTGCTAACTCGTGCCAAGCAAACTTTTCCTACTGAATTTGTTCGTTAAAGCTTTCAGGGCTTGTTGTTGTAATATGTTGTTCTCAAGGTTAGGATTTGGGGCTTGAGGCTTAGGGTTTACTGTTTACAATGGTTTAAGCTTTTTTTGACACCTCTTTTCCGTCCGCACGGTTAGCGGTTGGAAGGCCTTACAGGCTGAGGCTTCTGGTCGATGCCTGGAGCTGAGGGATTCACCACCAATCACCATTAAGTCATCCCCAAGTCCGGGGTTCAGGGTTTTCTTTTTGCGTGCTCAGGGTAGGACAGGATTTAGGGCTGAGGGTTTTGTTTGCGATGGTTCCAGCAAACGGCAGGGAAGAATTCACGACAAGCCCAAGCTCGGAAACTGGGCAGCCCCGACAAGCAACGACTGCATTATCAAGTGCTTTTCGGGCTCGGGGTTTAGTTTAAGGCTTGCCGTGACAATGCAGGAACATGCCATGTACTGTGTATGCGGAGTGCAGCAATGGCCCGACTATTCGGCCACCCACCCCAGGCCGCGTAAGTAATAGGTGCCGCCCCCCCCCCCCCAGTGGGCAAACCGGAGTTTGGGGCAGATGGTCGAAGCTGCTCGAGTGCAAGATCAAAGTGTGATAGATACGAGTCGTGAAAGGTACAGTATTTCGCGGCCCTAGTTGTAAGTCGCCTTATAAGGGGAAAAACAATGCCCAGCACCCTGAATCAAAACAAAACTCCAATCGCGCTGATCATGGTGAGGCCGAACCGCCCCTCCAACCCTCAGCCCGGGAGTCCTAAAGACATCAACACCAAAGAGCCCCAAAGCCCTAAACTACATCAGTGACGAACAAACCCCGAGCGTCTGGCCGAGGGCCACAGTCCGACACGCCAAAACCCAGAAGCTGGCCGAGGGGGTTGTGAGGCCCGTGAGCCCTGACCGCCAAAACCTCCAAATGTTCCCTGAGGTGGCCTGCGAAAGCTTTTTGGGATGTCTACCAGCACCAACACCTGATCCAGAGGTGCGGGCGGATAACTCCCAAGTTCCCAAGCTCCCCCGACTAGCACTGGACTGCTCTTGGCCGGATTTCCACGGGAAAGTCACCACCGCGGAGGTCGGCAAGGAAGAGCGCAGCATAGGGCAAGGAGGCTTTCTTGTGAAAGCTCCGCCTTGGGTCTGGTCGGGGTTCTGGGGCTTTGCTAAAGGGCCCTACAAGTCTTACAATACCGGTTCATGAGCATTTTCAAGGGCTTCGTGATCATGGAGCTTTTGAGGCTGCTGGTTTGGTTGGGCGGGCTCAAAGGCTTTGTTCTAAAGATTTTATATCGCTCCCACGTTTGGGTCTTCAGGTTTATGCGGGGTTTAGGGAATCTTAGTCTTTGGACGTTGAAACTGAGGGCCTAACGGTAAGCCTCGCCTTGTGATTTGTTTACATCGGGTTTCGGGTCTGCTTGGGGCTTCAGCTGGGAGTCGCGAGGGGCTTCGGGAGATCAGGAGGCTAGCCTGTCCTTGCAAGCTCACTCTTACAAGTCTCAGCTTGGGCCCCCAAGCTGCTACATACCAGTTGCCCTGCTGCCAGAGCCGCTTAAGGTCCTTGGCCACGCACAAAGCCGCCTCCGCTCGCTCAACGGCGTTCAAGGGAAACCGAACCGTTCTATCTCTGCTCCGAAACCCACCGGTCCCAATACATGCAGGGAGATGCTGAAGGCTCGGAGTTCGGGCTGAAGAACATCCAACGCATCCGATGGCACCGCGAGCGGTCGGAAAGAAGGGCCGCCCCAGCCCCAGCACTGTCAGGTTAAGGATACCTTTACTATCCCGAGTTTGCCGACGCCAAACACAAAACATGAGTGCATGAGAAGACTTGAAGATCAAGCGCACCGCCCCCCTTCTTGCAACAACAGGGTGACTCATTCAAGAAATCAGCCAAGCCAAACATCGACCCTTGGCGCCTGTGAGCCCAGCGAGCCCTGGCGCCGGGGCGACAGCGGCCAGCATTTGGGCGGCCTGAGAGCGTTGTTACTGTTGCTGTGCCACAGCTACCACAGTTATCGCCACGAAGATCGTAACTCTTGACTCGCTTGACGTTGCAACACAGCAAAGCCGATCCGACCCCGTGAACCCCTCGCAGGCCTATGCAGCTGCGACAGCTCCTTCAGCGCCGACCGAGCCTTCGGCGATGACGGGCCGGCAAGAAGAACTGCCCTGGAGAGACAGAGGTTTGAGACAGCGCGGATGTTTTAGGGAACATGTTACTCCATGGATTCAGGCAGCGAAGAAAAAATCAAGCTTACATAGCAGGCAAACTGTCTTTCAGTTTGGCAGTGCAGGCACTACGTACGTTCGCATGTTGAACATCTACGAGCCTGCTCCGATTTCGGGCACTTCCTCGCACCGCTCAGTGCCAACTCTTCTCAAGGGTTTCGGCTAGTCAAGTCCAACCCTGAGAAGTCTGCCTCCAAACATCAGTGCTCTTACCTTACTTACTGCTGCGCAGCCGGCATAAAAGTCCACTCCCAATCTGGCCGGAAAGGAGAGCTTCTGGCGAGCATTGCATCCTCATGAACGCACCCCAAACCTCACGACCTGAACGTCAAGTCTGCAGCACAGCAGGCCTCAACCCCGCAACAGGAAGCCTGCAAACGTGAACCCTGAAGAACAACAATCTCAAGCCTCAAGCTGCTGAGACCCCACCAGCCCTGAACCCTAGCAGCCCAAAAGGCCTGAAGCGCCACACCGACACAACTTCACGCAGGAAGCTGAACGCAAGGGCCCCACACTCCAAAACCTGTGCTTTGGAAGCTAGAGCTCTTCTATGCGCTCGGACCTTAGGAACCCTCCACCCTTCATCCCAAATATCACACCCCAAACCCTGAAACCCGAACTCCAAACCCTTAACCCTAACTCTAACCCGAAAATCCTTTTTCACAGGCTTGATTAGTGCTGGCCCAGCCACATTCCCCCCAAATCCAAAACCCAAAACCCTAAAATCCCGAGAACCCAAAAAAAAAACAAGCAACCTGTTCGTGTCAGAGATGGGGCTCTCGTCCGGCCAAGCCTATCCAGGTCCGAAGCTTTCCAGCTCGAGGGGGGTATTGAAGCTAGGCCTCGGGTGTAAGGCCTCAAGGCTCTTTGGTTTACGGCTCAAGGGCTTTGGAGTTTACGGTGCTTGACGGTCTTTGGAGTTTGGGACAGTGGAGACCCGAGTTCTGCGTGGTTGATTTCGAGATGAGCCGTCTCAGAACCTGAAGCTTTGCGCTTATTCTTCCCTCCCACTTAGCAGGGACGAGCCCGCATTGCAGTGTAAGTCAGCAGAACAGACTGGGATGCAAGAGGACTTCAGCTTCACCATCGAAACTAGTGTTCAGCTCCGACAGGGGTTTTGTGCTTGGGGCTTTGGGTTTACATGTCAAGTCTACAGTTTGGGCTGCTTAGATTTGGACGGGTGACGTTCGAGTCCCATGGTCTGGACTCTTCAGCTTGTGGGGTCAAGAGCTTCAGGATTGACGATTTAAGGGACTAGGACTCATGTGAACAACAGTCTTCGGCATGGCTTAGGTTGCCGTTGGTTTCGGGTTTTGACTTCTTAACTTCCACGGCCGGGGCCTCCGGGATCCTTCTCGGGACCTGAGGGTGCTGAGGCTTGTCTTCGTCGAGGTGAGGACTAGTGACGAGCTCCAGCGTCTGCGCCTCGTTTGGATCATCTTGAAAGCCCTAGCCTTGAACTCCATGGCAAATGCACCGCAACTCACTCTGAAAAATCAAGATGAAGCTATGGGCCGACATCTTCAGGCAGCTGGAGTTCAGAAGTTGAGCTGGATGAGTTTGGGATTTGGCCCTCGCAGATTGCCAAAGCTTTTTGGTTTCAAGACTCGCTCTCTACAAAACCTTTGAACTTTTAACCCTTTTCCTTATGTTAACACTGATCAAGCCCTCTAAAATGCACCGCGGCCTGTGGCTGGCTGCCTTTGCTCCGGGACCGGGAGTCGCAGCTTTTGAGCTTCACCTCCAAGGTTTGATTGTTGCTCCGTTGGTTTGGTACCATGACTCATACTGCGACTCTTGCTACTTTCTTTGCTGCTGTTATGACTGACGCTCTCGCTGCTACAAGCAGCACGTTGCCACTGCCGCTGCCACTACTACTACTACTACTACTACTACTACTACTACTACTACTAACTACTACTACTCCTCCTCCTCCTGCTGCTGATGCTGCTGCTGCTGCTGCTACTACTACTACTACTGCTGCTGCTACTACTGCTGCTGCTGCTGCTGCTGCTACTACTACTACTACTACTACTACTAGAATTGCTTGACGACCACCACCACTACTACTGCTTGCGCTGGTCTAGAAGCCACAAAAAGAAGAAGTAGTGCTTGCTGGATTTCTTGATGCCAGGCGGCACCCTCCTCCTGGGCTCGCACGTCGTCCTTGAGCTGTTTCACCCATGCCTGACGTGAAGCAGTGGCGTTCTGCCCCCGTCTGGACTCTTCGCAAGCAGAGCCCTGCTTGACAATGCGTACGATATCCTGCGATGCTACGTCGTGGGAGGGGCAATAGGAGACAACACATTGTCCAACCGAATCGAAATTGGGAGCGGTCCTTGTCCCAAGAAAGAAGGGTTTTCGTGCAGTCCTCACTTACATTAACTGCTATCCAAGGCGCCTGTTTGTAGATGGTACTTCCTCTCGCAAGTTTTATGAAGGCAGGTCATGACTGGGAAACTCTGTGGAGCTTGGCATCTCATGTCGGGAACTGCCCGTACCTTCAGCACTCCGTTGATTCTTTTGCTGGCATGGGCACCTCCCTGAATCTGGTTTCTACAGCCTAGCAAGCTTTTCTGTACCCTCGTCAGAGTCCTAAGTATGGACTCGGCGATTTCAGAGCGACCATCTGGAAGACTTCCACGTTCAGCAGAACGAACCTGCACAACGAACACAAGAACACTTGGTAAGCCAATAGTGCTCACCAACTCCATGCGCTTCAGATCACTGCACCACTCTTTGGCCACGCAGCTCCGATGGTGTTTTTGCCCGGAGCCATCCAAAGTGCACCCAGTTGTCCTCGGCATTCCGGAATTTCGCTTGAAGCTGCATAATTAACTCAAAACACATGTACGTACGTACGCACGCCTGCCCGCCCGCCCGCCCGCCCGCCCGCACGTACTCACCACACAAGCAGGCAGGCGGGCGGGCGGGCGGGCAGGCGGGCACGCACGCAGGCACTTACGCACGCACGGATGGATGGATGGATGGATGGATGGATGGGTATCCCTATACATGTGTGTGTGTGTGTATATGTATGTATGTATGTATGTATGTACGTATGTACGTATGTATGTATGTATGTATGTATGTATGTATGTATGTTACTGCGCCAGGACGAAAAATTCGTCGCATCGGGCAGTTCTGTAAACCCCTTCCCTCCATGAACTCCTTCACGAAGTCTGGAGTTGATGCCCGGATGTCAGCAATTCTTCCGTTTGAACAAAATAGTAATATATGTTTATTCTAGCACAGAAACTCCTCCGCTGGAGCACTTGTTGGTACTCCGAGTCCTCTGACAAGCAAAGACATCTTAGTGCGACAAAACCTTCATCCTGCTGATGTATAAATTATATATATATACACACATATATATATATATTATGCATATATATATATGCATATACATACAGAGAGAGACATATGTGTCTGGATACATATTTATGTACATACGTATCTGTTCTTAGCACTCTCGGCGCGTGCGTAAGTCGAGATTCATCAATTCATCTGTGTTTACACATCATACATGCACACCTCCCTTGTCCTGATCTCTCGATGTCACGAGGATGTTGCTGTCGCTCATCCCTTGCAGGTGTAGCATAAAGAAATGCATCCTGGGTTCGAACCACAGAGCACCCTCTGCGATCCACCTGGGATCAAGAGCATGTTCGAGAGTTTGAGGTTGCGGATTTAGGCTCACGGTTACTTGTGATGGCAAGCTGGTACGGACTCAATGACGGCAGAACATGGAAAGAGAGACCAGAGAAAGACCCCGCTCCGAGCTTTCGCTGCTTCTTCCCTGGATTGCAGTACGCGCCGCTCACCGGCGTGAACGTCGATTGCTCCGCTCACTGACCGTCGAGCTTGGGGTCGCTGGAAGTAATACTGCAGCTGACCACTTATGCAATAGTACCTCAGCTCTCCAAGCTCTAGCGTCCACAGATACTCGACACCTCTGGAACAGCTTCCCCAGACACACATGGGAAAACAAGAGGGTTTTGGGAAGAGTCGATGCGCACAACAGTGGATTCTCAGCCACGGGACACATGAGCAGCTTTCTCTGCCCGGTTGAACACGTCCTCCATCGGAGGCACGCCACGAAACTCAAGTCCTGGCACTCGAGACAATGAAACATCCGGCTATCGTGCGGCTTGCTTGGAATCAAGGAGGGTCTGGAGTCTAGACCCATCGATTCCGGGCTGCTCAATGTCGTATTGGCGTCCTTCAAAATGCAGAAGGAAGCACCCTGCCTCGATCACAGAGGCGGCTGATCACGTGCGGGTCAGCCAGCTCAAGTCCTGCGTACTTCCAGGTTGGTAACACTGTGGGGTCCTGAGGATAAGTACAAACACGTAGTGACGTAGTATCGTAGTGTTCTAGCGGGGCGCTGCGGATGCGCACACGGCGACTGCGACTAGCACTGCCAGCTACTGCTACGGCTCCGGCTACCGCTACCGCTACCACTTCTACTTCTCGTTCTACTCACTACTGCTACTGCGACTGCGACGGCAACCAGGAATACGACTATTACGACCACTACGGCGACGACGACGACGACCACCGGGCCACTACTCCTACACTACTGACATTACTACCACCATGACAAAGAACTGCAATTATGTTACCCGGGTTGCAGGGGAAATCCGCAAGGCGCAGGAGAGGAGTCCTTGAAATAGGGGATGTGCCTGAAGGTGAGGGATAAACATATCCTGAGTCTGCATGGGCGTCTCCGAGGCTTCATCAAAGGCAGTTTTGGTGACCTAAACTTGAGCCGAGCCCTGCTGAGCTTCAACACCTCACTCAACAAAGGCAGGCTTCTGCCAACTTGTGACCGAGGTGCCTTACGCAGCTCGATTCGAAGGATCTTCGGCAGTCCGGTGAGCAGAATGACGTTGCTCTCCGTCAATTTAGGCCGAGTGCGTCCTGAGCTCCAGCCAGTGAGCTACGGCTGATGATATAAATCCTGCATTAACCGAGTAATAAGGAATGTACCATAATTCCCATAGTTTAGGGTCCTTAAGGCTTAAGGTAATGCAGGAATTAAACCATCAACAGCACTGAAAAAATCACAAGCTCAAGGCATTGGGCCGGGACGCGTCTTGATCGGACAAACTCCCAGATCCTGCTGGACATCGCGGGGGAAATCGCCCTGTCCCCAAAGAACGACCGGAGCTTCTTCTCCTCAGAAAACTCAGATTCGAAGCCACACGCTTATTTAGTCTACTCTGCAGCCCAGGATCGTTCTGCAAGGTGTCAACCTCCACGGATCTGTAGTCCGTGACCGCCGATGTAATGGCGGATACACCTGAGAGTTCTTCAGACATAGGACTTGAGCTTCCCCTTCAGTCTGATACCAAGCCAGGGCGCTGCTTGCAAAAGACACAAGGCCTGCAAAGAGAACGAAGATGGCGTAGATGTGCTCCTTCGTTGCGTCGCAAGCCGCTGCAGCTGACGTATGACAAGGGTCACTCAAACTTTTTGGCGAGCTCTGGAGCTTCGGACAAGTTCACTGCAGGCCTATTCTTTCGAGATGCTCAAACTCCTGGGCAAACACTGAAAGCTCGATCATGATGCGAAGCAAGACTCCCACATGTTGATGGCATTGATGCGTGTTGTGGCAGTCGCAAAATTCGACAGACTCCAGTGGAACGCGGCCACCTCGGCAACGAAATCTTGGCATTCTGGGATCGTGTGGTGGTATGTCAGCATGCGTAAGCAACGCACACAGCGTTGAGGGTATTAACGGGTGGACTGGATCTTGAGTAGCATCACGCATGCAGAAGCATTCTGCCTAAGCTTTGCGTGGTAACGGAACCCATAAGTAAGTGGGTGCGAATGTAAGCTGCTACAAGTACAGCGATGTCTGGACTCTAAGCTGCTCCATTGAATTGAAAACCCGTATGGAATTCCCGGCAGAATTGCAGTCCAGCTTGGACGATGGAAAGCTATGTCCGCCTGGCCACGTACTGAAAGCCGGCTGATTCAGCACCGGCCTGGACATCGGTGGTCCAGCTTGGCTGTCCACCTGAAATGTGGAGTGAGCACAAACTGAGCTTTCGGGGTGTTCTCGAACATGAGAGCCTTCTCCGGTGAAGGAGCCAAGCCAGTACCAGAAGCAAGCAATGAAGTGGTTCACACACACAACCTGAGCAGGTGTTCGGCAGGCGCGGACACTCGGCTACCTGCCGCATCGTCCTATTCCCCGAGCGTGAGGGGTATCGACACTTGATCAAACAGAGAAGGTCTTCTCCTGAAGCGAGAACGCTCATGGTCCTACCCTCTGCACCCTTTCCAACAAGGGAGACGGCTTGGACGAAAGCTTGAACACAATCGCATTCTCATGATAGCTGATAGCACTGTCCACTGTCGACTCCTCAGCTACCGTTCGCAATTCATCCAAGTGCGATCTGAAATCGCGACACGGCAGGGTCGATTACAACTGCCTTTTCAATGGTCGAACACACATCTGCAACTCTCATTTAAGCTTTGCCCTGTAAGTACCAGAACCCTGAGGCACACAGGGTCATTGAGTCGTTGTAAGAAGGGCGGCAGAGAGGACGATGTTCGAAATCTTGAAAATGAGCACATTGAGGTCCCCATACAAGGAGTCCGCCACGTTTTGCAGCATTGGTGCCTGGGCAGCACAGCGAGTTCTTCAGCAAGATTGCATCAAGCCTGCTATAGTCTCAAGCTGTCATGCTGGACATCATGTAAAAAAAAAGGCTTCGGCTTCCATGAGGCTTCAAAACGGTCGCTGAAGTTTCACTGAGAAAGCCACGACCTTGGCCAGTCGGAGGATTCGAACTCCTGCCGCCGGCATCTAAAAGACCAGTCATGTCCACTAACAAACAAGGTTTGCAGCCTGTTCGAGCATGGCGACAATGAGAGGAGAATTGCAAGCGGCTTACCACTGCTGTCTCGAACGACACAGCCCCGGCTCCAAACCTACAGCAAACCAAGAAGTTCTTCACCCCAGATGGCAGGTGGCCTATTTTGCTCAAGCAGGCTGAGTTCCAAGCAAACAGGAGCACATGATGACTGTTTGAGCAGGCCGTCCTCTCACAATGCGAATGCCGCGAACGGTCTTCCCAACTCCTTGGTTCTGTCGGAAGTGCTGCTTGGGGGGGGGGGGGCAGGGCTTGTGTGTCTGCACGAACGTGTTGGCAGGGCTCCTCACTGTCACGGATTCCTCTAGTAACACAGACCATCATCAACAATAACATCAACATCCATCATCATCGTCGTTATCGTCATCACCATCACCCAAATCCTTCAACAGCAGCGCCATGCTCCATTTCGCTTGGCGTCTCAAAGCTTCCAGGAACTCGGCATCGTAGTGACCCACGAGCGAGGCCCAATCCAAGGAAACCTACAGCGCAAGGACAGATTGGAGGGCAGACCTAGAGCCAGGATCTAAGGGGCAATAGGAGGGACTCCTAGAAGGGACCCCTAATCCTAATACCCCAACATAACCCTTATATACCCCTGATATAGTGTCTCATAAAGCCCCTATGGATCTTGCAGCTGTGCACAAAGCTCGCCGTCTTGACCGCTGATGTTGAGGTCCCCGCGGCGGGTAAAGGAGTGAGCTAGTGCCAGTGGGCCCCGTCTGCTACTGCTCCCAAGGGCTTCCGAAGCTTCCAACAAGCTCCCTGGCGGTCGCACATGTCACAACTCTTCCGGGGCACATGAGGAACAGTGGGACGCGGAACTGAAGTTGCAGCTGTCAGGATTACATACGAAGCTCTGTAAAGGAGAAACGGTGTGCCGTTTCTGGACAAGCTTGGTCTGGCAATGGCTGGGAGAAGCTTGGTGGAGACGCACTTATTCTCATGTCTGGCAACCGCAAGGACCTCAAGGACATCTAAATCAGACGAAGCACGATCAACAGGTCCAGGCAGAACCAGGACTTCAAGTACCGCAGAGCTGTGTAGGAGAAGCGCTTCTCGATTTTGCCCTGCACACTCAGGCTTCTTCAGCGATTCTCATGCATCTCAAGCCTAGAGCTACAGCTGCTTGCTCTGCTTGATCCGAGCGTGGGTCACAATCATGGCATGTGTGCGATGCACCATGAAGGAGTCTCCCGTGCTTGAATGTCTTGTTGTTGAAATATGGCTGCTACAACAGGCAGCGGATCACTTGCAGTGGGGTCTTGAAGTCATGTCTTCGGTTCAGCCTCAATGGTATTGTAGCCGGCAAATAACTGGAGCGGCATATCTGTCAGCCAGAAGCACGCCTCTCCGGGACGCAGGGTGGGGAAGACGGCAGCGTTGCACTGATGAGGGCCCACGGAGATGACAGATTAGTATATAGGGTGCTGTCAAGATTCGGAGATCCAATCCATCACGATGAAGGTCGGCTCCGAAGTCATCAGCACTTCAATTGCTTCAAAGGCACTGAGAGGAAACCTAGCCAGCACAAGCTTTTGCGAGCTTGGGCATCGTGACCAGAAGGGCCGGGGACGCACAAACTCCAGCTGAGGCTTTCGCGCTATGACCTCAATGGCAAGGATGATCAGTGCCAGAGTATCCCAGACCATCCTCCAGCGGGAAGCGAAATCGCAGACAAAGCAAGACGGGCAAAGAAGCCAGTTGTGAGCTCCCATGCCCTGCCGGGCCCTGCCTTCTGCGAGACATCGGGGGCGTCACAAAGCGCGAGAGGCACTGCAGCCAGGCGGCTTGATTTGCGCCTGCTCCTGGGACTCTGAGACTTGGGATGCAAGGATGCAAGTCGCTTGGCTCTCATCTTTTCCCACACTCTCCCTCTCACTGTAGCTGCTCTCTGTCGCCAGCGTATCTCAGGGCCCCAGCCTGGGCCAACGCCGAGCTCATGAAAGATATCTTCCGTGTCCTTCACGGAGTCCCATTCGGCACCAGCACAAATTACTCATGCTGAATCTGATACTATCAAGACTATTGTCAGATTACCACTAGTACTAACACTGTGAGTACCACTGCTGCTAAACAGCCACTACTAACTAATAGCGACACTGAGATGCCCATTTAGCGCCCCTCGGCCTCCTCAGGATCGTTCTCATCCGGCCACTTCCACAAAGCCCGGAGCTCACTGGAACTCTGAGATTCCATGCTGGAGTACCTCACTTGCCGCTTGAAGTTCCCTACCTTCTTGCTTTGCCCCCAAAACATCCTAGCCCTACACTCCTTCACCATGCATGACCAGAAGGCGGGACAGAGTTACTGGCTCAAGTCTGCGAGTGGGAGAATAAGACAAGGCAGCATGTACACAATGTAAGACCGCAGAAGAGTGTCAAGCCTAGCAAGAACATGTTAGGTTGCAGATTTTTATACGAATATATATATATATATATATATATAAAGTTGCAATAAGTCATAAAAACTGCAGCAAAAAAGGCTAAGCATCCGACTCACAGACCTCGATGTGCGGCAGGAACGTAACCGACTTCTTGACGGACTTCTTGTTTGGGTCCTGCTGCATTTGCTTAATTATACCGGCATGACTGGGACCATACCTGTTGTCTTCCTCGTCTTGCAAAAGGCTGCGCCGCGACGACTGCTGTTGTGCTTACAGCCTCTGTTGATAACTTGACACCCTCTCTCGTGAATCTCGAGGCTGCAAAGCATACAGACGGTCGACACATGAAATAAGAATGGGTGTCCATGCGAAAGGTTGGAGTCATCTCCATCATCACCATCACCATCGCCATCATCACAACCAGAATCAGCAGTACATAACAAGAACAACGGGCGGAAGCTGCACAGCCACCTTCACCACTGCTGGTACTGCATTATCAGGCCATGACTGTCATGCATCTTGCACTTCACGACTGACATGATATGCTCTGTGTAGTTCAGGTTGCCAAAAGCACTGGTATCCAATATGCACCGGGTTTCCGAAATGTTTGGGTTTGTTAGTGGTTCTGAGGGTTGACAGGCGTTGTTGTGGTCATACAGCCTGGGGAAAACAAGGCGAGAGGACCCGGGGTCACCTGGGGGCGAGCCCATGGTTCACAAAGCCACCCCCCTGCTCGCTTCTCTCCATGTGCGGTACATGGTGCGGTACTACCCCTGTAGGGCCAGTTGGTGGCCAGTGCACCAGGCGGTGTCGTTCTGCTCGGTTCAGACGTGTGTGGATAAAAAGGGGCCGGATGCCTCGCACCATCTCCACCGATCCATACCCGCATTGGCCAGAATCTGGCGCGCTGCTCTCAATCCACGGAATCTAAAGTCAAGCCAGCTCTCTGCAGTTTTGCGCCTGAGTCCTGACATTCTGGCCACCATCCCAAGGTTCCCATGACTTGGACATTGGGTGGCGCTGCTGCCGCATACCACAGGGCAGCCCCGTGGACTGGAAGACCTGGAGCCTCTTCTTTACGGGCCTTTTACACTCCAACACCCCGACACTCGCGAGGTACTTCTTCCTGGCTATGGCCATGCCTGTGTCCATGATTGCTGCCGGCTTGAAGGGGATGGCAAACTTTATCCCCATCACTTCGCAGGAAGCTGACGACTGAATCACGTAGCCGTCCGGGCAAATCTGTGGGGGAGTGATGGAGTGGGGCGAGCTGTAGAAGGCTGTCTTCTTGGGGTTCATCGTAAGGCCCCACGGCTTCAGGTCCCGGCTGAAGATCGCATCTTTGCGCTCCAGTGCTTCCCTCCTACTGCCCCACAAGATGCTATCGTCCATAAAGAGAAAAGATGACACTTGCATGTCCGGCGCGCTACTTAGTGTAGTCGGCCACTCCTTTGCTCTCTGGGAACTGTGAAAGGCACACTCTATAGCAACGGCACATATAAAGGGGCTTACTACGGAGCCTTGCCGGATCCCCCTAGTTTGGGCGATGGGTTCCGTGCCCCACGGTGTACGGCCACGGCCTGTCCTGGGTCTGAGCAGCTGCTTCCAAGCTTCGATCTCGCACCAGGTTTCTGGTGGCAGGTTGTCCACAACGCCATTCTGTCTCAAGGGAACCTTCCCACCCGGCAAATAGGTAATCAGCCGTGTGTCTTGCTCCCAAAGCGCACTGCTCTGGACCTCTTGGCTGCAAGACCTCCCTTGTCCGCTGCAGCAGGAGTCCTCCAAACACTTTGCCAACAGCCGAGCTCAAACTTATGGGCCCGAGGTCAGCTGGCGATGCAGGCCCGCGGCTTCTTGGGAGCAACCTTATGATTGTTGTGAGTTGTGGGCGATGCGTCCGGCACTCGGGCCCCTACCCGCACAGATTCCATCCATGCCAGCAGGGACCCCTCTGTAATGGGGTCTTTACACAGCTCTTTTATCAGCTCATACGAGCTTCAATCGAGCACTACAGCCTTGCGGGTCTTCCCGCTGTGCACAACTGCATCTGCTGCTCCTTGCTCCACTGCACCTCGGGGCTTTGAGCCACTGCTGCTCGGAAGACTTCTGCGAAGTGGGTTGTTGTCTATGTGAGGGGGTCCTTTCCTTGAGCATATGCCTCCTCCATCGGGTGAACTGCCCAGTCTACCCCTGAGCTGTCCAAGAGGTCCTTCATGTCTTTCCACGCCTCTTGGCTCGCTCTTTGGACCTTCGTTTGCAACCATTCATCTCGAGCCGAGCCTGCCTTCTGGCTTTTTGTGCCTCTTTCCACCCCTGTTCTGTGTCCTCTCTTCTGGCACGGCGAAAGGCCGCTCGGACTTCGGGTGGATCACGGTACCGCTGGCCTTTGCGCGGAACCATGTACTCGGTCGCAAGCTTCTCCATTTGGGTCTGGTTCACGATCACCTGAGAGGCGATGGTACCTGTCACAACCCTGGGTCTGGTGTCGTATGCTGGGCCTGCTGAGGTCTCGGCCCGAAGTTCAAAGCATGCTGAGTCTCTCGTGGTCGCCCCCGATGTGATTGTAAGAGCCTTCCGCTATCTACATCACCGATCTTGTGCCTGCAGTTGGTATCCACACCGCTCGAGCTCGGAGAACAGGTAGTCTGCTCTCCCCGTGGTTGGCAAAGGCTGCCCATACTGGCCTGTTGCCCGGGTCCATCGCAAACATGTGTTTGCCAACATCACACTGCAAGGATGTAGGGTGTCTCAAGGACAAGATCTGGTATGCTTCTTCAGCCGTCGCATCGGACACCCCGGTGCTCAGCCTAGCGGAGCATATCAGAAGTCTGATCCTGATTACTTGCCTGAGTCTGAGCCACACCCCGATGTCATTGGCTTTGCGCCTGAGACAGGTGAAGTCTGCAGTCGGTGAATGGTTTGCCACCCCCCCACCTGTGATCTGGGCAGATCTTGGAAGGCGAAAGTCGCCGTTTCCACTTCTCGTGTCTCACTGTGAGTGGCGGCAGCAAGGGCCGACTCGATCGGCTTACCGTCTATGTTCCAAGAAAAAAAGCACGTCACCCTGTTTCCACTTGGACGTCGCCTTCCGGGCGAACTACAACACATGCACTATCCTCGGGTCTCCTGTACTACTGTACTCCCGAGACCTCTGGGTCTTTTGTGGCCCTCCACGCACTACCTGGCGGGGCCGCTCAGGTCCTCCATAAGATATTGGCTGCGCTCGAACTCGACAAGACCATCTTGCTCATGCCACTCCGTGATGGGGGAGGGCCTCCCATCGCTCTGCCAACGCGTCGCTGGATGCACCTGAAATCCTCGCTATCTGCTGGATGTCAATCCACGTCCCGGGAGCGCCCTTGCTTGACTGCCACGTCTTTGGGTGGGGTCCTTGTCGCGCTTGCCACCAACTTGGCCATCATCCAGACCGATCCCACCCCCCATTCGGCATCCATTCCATGTTTCTCGGATTGGTTCACCTCCAAGATCAGCCTCTACGTCTTCCCGGCGTGCCCGGAGCGGAGCCTCTCCATCTTGGTCTTACTGCCGCCCACAAGGTCTTCCCTGTTGGCATCGATCGAGACGCCATGGCTGCACCTCGAATCTCCTGGACAAGCTGAATCATCTGCTGCTTGAGGTGTTGGTCATTGGTCACTAGCTCCTTCGGGCCACTTGACCAGTCCCATAGCATGTCCTTTGCTGGGTCCCGTTATGAAGATGTCCTGGAATTGCTCCAACACACCGATCCGCTCTAGCATGTCCTTAAACTCCGTCCGCCTTGTGACTTGCGCGTGTCCGCATCCCAGAACCCGTGGATGACCAGGTTTTTCTGGTGACTCTCGCCTCCCACAGAGCCCATGCGCGCGGTGTTTCCTTCTGTCTTCTGGGTCTGCAAGTCTTGCCTCCAAGCGATCCCTTTGGTCTTTCAACTGTGCGATATAGTTTGAGTGACGGCTCACTTCATCTTTGATGCCCCTAAGTTCCAAGGTGGTTGCACGCTGGAGTTCGGCAATGGCACCCCTGATCTCCCGAGACTGGTTCTTCGCAATGGTCTCACTTTGCTGCTGTAACTGCAGGTCCCCCAGGGTGATGGCCTACCCCGGCTCCCTCGGGCATTCGCGCGGCCACCTTTGGACTCCCTAGAGCATGATCCACACCCTCGGAGGTAGGCACTGGGACATCGGCCATGCTTGTAATCGGCACTGTGAGGCAGAAGCGGGGGGGGGGGGGGGGGGTTGAGTCCTTGCTATCGCTAGAAGCTGTTCTTTAAACCCGAACAGTCGAGCCAAAATGGATTGAGCCTTGGGGTTTACGGTTTAGGGATATTCTTGACGAGCTCCAAGACCGTTGCAACAGCACATCTGTCAATAGAAGTCGTCCAGCCCCTGAACTATTGCTTACAAAATTTCATTGGAGCTCTACTGCATCAGCCTGTGTGAAACAAGCAAGAACAACCAACACAACCATGGCTTTCATTGTAGCAGTCACAAGTCAGCGAGCATTTAGAACTAGAAACTAATCAGAGCATGAACGGACATGCAACATGCATACTGTCTCTCTCTCTCTCTNNTCTATATATATATATATGTATTTAATTAAGTATTTGTTAATTTATGTGTTCTTTGCGCGTGTCAACTTGTACATGCATCTGTGCAGTATGCTATGCTTTCACTTTCAACTGAACGGAGAACCCTAAAACCCCCTAACCCCCAAACCCTGGAACCCTAAACCCCTGACTCAGCATCCTTCATGTTGGAGGTGGAGAGGCTCGACACTGAGCTTGACAGGTTCGGACCCGTCCTTGAAACGATTCGCTTGGGGCCTCGTTGTCTGTTGGGGAGGGGGGGGATCCATTCCTTTGAAGAGCTCCTCCATACTCATCTTAGTTTAGGGTGTAGGGTTTAAATTTAGGAAACCATGAAGATCAGGCTACCCTTTCGGACCATAGAGCTGCTGCTTGGGCTCTGGGGCTTTAGATTTCTTTGCAGGGCTTGACCCCTCTAAACCCTTGCGCACCTGTTGCTGTCATGCTCCGGGATGTCAGCTGGTGGCTCTTCCGGCTCATCCTCGCTCGATACTTCAGGGAACAGGGATGCGTTCCTTTCGAAGTTCAACACGCTGGACCCTTCTGGGGCTGCCAGCCTGAATGCTTAGTTTGTGCGCCGTGAGCTTTGCCAGGACTTTCCAAAGTTTCGGCAGGAAACATACGAGAATCTTCCTTTGGAAACTCTGTGCTTGCCGCATGCAGAATGATAGATATGTTGGCGTGCGTCGTGGCATGTTCCAAGCCCCCACTTGCCGCCGAAAGGAACGCCAGCGTACAGCCACTGGCAATGTCACTAGTTCAGGTTACACGCAGTTAGAGAATCGCATCCCAACAACAACATCGCTTTGTAGACTCACATTAAAGTCATTCTCGAAGCCTGGACGAATTCTTGTTCCTTGGGCCGGTGGCCTCGAACCAGTCGTTGAGTGATGGCGGGGCCCGCGGAAACGTTTCCAACTGGCTGGATGCTCGCGGAAACGTTTCCAACTGGCTGGATGCCAGTAAGGCCAGTGGCGGAGCCTGCATCAATCTCCATCAACAGCATGGATCTCCCGCCCGTGAGACGAAGCACTCGCTATATATGCAATATTGTCCATCACACGCCAAGACGCAGTTCGTATCATAGTACTTCCAGATTCGAGCAATCATGATTTACAAGTTCTGCGCCTTCTGCCTAAAGGACGGTATGAGGCGCGAGGCCACAGCTCCGAGCCTCCTCCCTGCTGCTTTCCATGCTGCTTCTCCGGGACCCGCTGGGCCCGCTTTCCACGCTGCTACGCCGGGACACGCTTTGCCCGCTTTCCACGCTGCTTCGCCGGGACCCCATCTCGAACTTGGCCACCTGCTGGACATCGAGTTCATGCTAAGCTGTCAAGCTCCTACAAGTTGGCATTTTGTCAGACAAGTTGATGGCTCAGTCACAGGCTGAAGTCCATTGCTGCGACCGTAATCCTCCCCTCGACGCCCAAGATAGAACTCTTAACGCCCTGCGCGCGCCCCGCCCTGAACGAAAATCTCAACAAACTCTAAGCGGCCTCGAAATCTGAGACATGGAGCAGCCTTCGGTGCTCCTCCATCAAAGCAACTCTCAGCGCTGCCAACCTTAAATTTGTCAGGGCTGGTGCAACGCTCTCCGTGCAGAGTTGCTGTGTGTGAATCAATGTCAATGCTCCACTGGCCCGGCCCCCCCTTGCCTGGCCATCGTCATCATCGCCGTCATCATCATGATAAGTTTCATTTTGTGCTTCATCACAACACTCACCATTATCACGTTTCATGCATCATGAGCATGCTTGTGACATGACTCTCAGCATCATGATGAACAGGATGACTCAAGTCATCAAAACTATGGCGATCACCAGCCCTACCAGGCCCTTCTGGATCAGCACAGTTCAGGATCCTGATCTCGGCGCCGACAGAACCTCTCCAGCCTTTCAGAGTCCAAGGCCCTTTGGGAGTTTTGGGGCCTGAAGGTCTCACAAAAGCCACCCTGGCGGGTGAGGCATTGGAGCTACAGCTAATTGGAAGCTCCAAGGGGCTTTTGATCCAGAACGGCGTCGAAAGCCGCGATGGCGTCTCGGGTGTTTATGACCTCAGTGTATGTTTCGGGTATCACCGAAGGCACTGTTGAATACCTGCACGGGCCAAGCATGGTGTCACGAGCTCAGGTCCAAATGCCAAAGAACTATGGCAAACGGAACTACATAGACGTGTCAGACAATATCACCATGGAGGCGAATTCTGATCTGCAGGCTGGTGACAGGCGGGCGATCCTGGTCCATCATTTTGGGGTGCAGCTCCATGGCAGAGATAGGAATTCTACCAGGCGCTAAAGCACAGGGATGTCCTTGGAAACGAGCCTGAAGGCCCAACCCCTCTCTATATAGCTTCGTGTCACGGGTCGTTGTGCACTTGTTTGGAGCGGCGCCGCGCTCTTGCAAGATTTGCTTCAGGCCTGCCTTGCCTATTAAGGCGCTAAGGCTTGAGACTGCAAGACACCAAGGCAACAGTCTCTGGCGCGAAGAAAGAAACCGAAAAAAAAAGCCCCTTTGCACATCCACACCTTTCATACCGACATTTAGTACGTACGTACGTACATACATACATACAGACATGCATACATGCATACATGCATACATGCATACATGCATACATGCATACATACATACATACATACATACATACATACACATGCATGCATACATCCGTACACCTGTGCAAATTGGCGTGGCATGACGTAGCCCTGCCTCTCGCCAGCGTCCCACTTTCTCACAGGCATGAATCGCGATGTTGCAACCTTAAGGCTGGGACACCGTGAGGAGAGCGCTTTGGGCTTTGGGGGTTAGGGTGTGGCTGCCCGAAGCCAAGAGCGAAGATAGAGATCTGCTACAGCAAGGCAAACTCTCCTACATGTTCCATGTCCTTGAATCCCATGAAAGCCCCCTAAAACCACGAAACGACAACAGCTTCACGAGAAGCAAAATGATGCTGGGCTCCCCAACCCACAGGACCTCGGCGCTGTTTTCTGCACATCTTAGCACGGATATTTTTACGATTTTTTAGACTTTTTACGTCTCGAAGTGACAGGCATCCTGATTCCCGACTCGCCTGCTTCCATGGACGCTTCGGGTACAACATGCAGCAGAGCCTCAGAGACCGAGAAAGCAGGGCATCCAGCATCCAATGAGCCATGTTGGACTTCGAACAGCACAGACAACAGTTCTGAAACCGACGGCTGGATCATCAAAAAAACACCACCCGGGACACTCTCTAACCTGACCATGTCCCCAGAGGCCCTGGCCAAGGCCACGTCCCAGCGCCTCTCCAGGCTGCAGACCTGCTCTGATATAATATAAGATAATCTAGTATAATATAAGATAATATAATATAATATAGTATAATATAGTATAATATAGTATAGTATAATATAATACATGTCGAAGCAGAATTATAGCAGGCACCACCGAGCAACGCAGAGCAACTGAGACACGGGCACTCGCAGCGGAATTGAAGGAGACCACATCCTTAAAGACAAAAGCTACAGCTCCCTTCGAGATCACGATCACGGCAGGCCCCTTGCCAGTCGCTGGCCGAAGCGCCGAAGCTTCTCTTGGAGGCTCAGGGCCTAGGAACACCGGAACCATCCGGAATCACCAAAAGTCCTTATCCATGTTCGTAGCAAAGCTACGAAAGGGCAGCTTTTTTGGGGCGGGAACGGGGCCTGGTCCCAGGCCGCCCTCGCGCCGCGCTCGGCGGCCCCCAGGCCCGCATTGCACGCGACGATCTCGGCGAAGCGAAGGCTCATGATTTCCGCAACGTAAAGTGTGGGCAGCTCCAGCAGAATCCCCGAACCCTCCACGCCCTTGAAACGGAATCCGCCAAGCGAGGATCAGAGGGGAGCGTGTTGAGAGAGGCTCTAAGGCTCCGCACGCTTCCGCAGAGCCCTCAAGTGAGGCACCTGGGGCTGCCACGTTGGGCTGCAAAGCGGTCTGTGGCATCCTGGCTGCGGGGCGTAAGCACGATTTCTAGCATGAGAGCCCTTGAGATCGTTTGAGCCTCTGCCTCCATGCGTAATTTCGTTTGTTTGATGCTGAGCAACTCACATGGGGCTTCCTGAAACAACTATCACCTATCTAGTCGTGGAGTCGTGAACCACATTCGCTGAGCAGAGTCGGCGTCGGAAAGCTGCAACAACATGTCCTCTGCAAGGCATACACCGCACTCTCCCACTGGCTTCCTGCAAAGAAACGTCTCAGAATGCTTCTAAGGTGTTACTGTCTAGACGCGATCCCTCTCCGTCGAACGCAGTCCCCATTGCTGCATGCCTCGATGCAAGGCAGTGATGGTTGCCCCAGCAGACACAACCTCAAGCTCACACACGAACAGCGACCGCTGCGTAGCTGCAGAGTCACGTGACAGAGGTGTGAGAGGCAGCAGCAGCAGCAGCAGAAGCCAAGGCAAACGTGCTAGGAATCTGTAAACAACGTCTTGGCTCAAGACATTGCTCTCCAATCGATTTTGCATGAGCCTGTGAGTGAGGGACGAGGGAGGCTGGGATGCTCAGCACAGCTCTGCAGGCCTACCCAAAGCCAGCACGCATTCCCAACGGTCGGACGTGCCAAAGGAGGTTGTCATCGCCTTTTCTCTCCAAGGCCAGACATGGCCAGATGCTGCGCTCTTCACCGAAACAATCCGTGCCAGATGCACCGCTAGGGTGATGATGTCCGGCTGCAGGGACTCTGCCTGACCACCCAACGCGGGAGACTCAAACGCTGTCAGTTGTCGAACTCCGGGCGCCTGAATGCCTGCGAAGAGCTCCGCCGCCTTTCAGCCACATCTCTCCCCAAACCATCCCAACACCTATGCCATCTACAGGGCGACTGGGCACTCGGCCCTTTGCCAGCGCTGCCCCTGCGCGAGCGACACCCCATCAGACCGACAGCATCTGCACTGAGCTTCGCTGAGCTTCGCTGAGCTTCCCCGTACCCTTCCTCTAAGGCTCTTTAGGGATCTGCAGATGCCTCCCTTCCAGTAACCAAAGCAGGGGAGGGAGCCTCGAAGCCTGAACCCCACAGCCCTAACAGGCGGCGTCGCTGGCCGGGGCCCAGGCCAGAGAGCTGATAGCTGCGTTCAGAGAGGGGAGATCTTCGTGAAACCCTGGGGCATGCCGGGAATACGAGTGAATGTAGGCGTAGCAGCTTCTTCAAGTTCTACATGTTCTACCTGGATTATGGTGGTGTTATACATACCTTCTACTTTACAGAAAAATATTGTTATTGCACTACTAATACTTATACAAGCACTACAGTACTATGGTAGTATTGCTATTACAACGCAGCAAGGGGATATTTGTCCCGATGAGACAGGGCTTTGTTGACGGCATGTTTTGCTTTTTGTGTTTTAGGAAATTTTAGGGTGTGGAAATACTTGTTATCCTCGAGTTGGCGGACGCGCTGGCTGCGCATGCAGCATTGTGAGGCCCAGCGCATGATAAAATCTGATACACTCTGATTTGAAGTTCTGTCTCGTCACGGTATCGTTGGATCTGTAGTTTTAGGCCTTTCAGCTTTTGGTTTTAGGAGTGCTTGAGTCTACGTCAGTCTTGGGGGCATTGTGTGGACTCTACAGCATATTTGCAAAAAAAGCAACAACACTGTTAAATAACTGTGTTCTGCTCAGTACTATCAACATTGCTATCGTGCTTAGGTCTCTTGTTCGTAATTGTGCGTGGTGCTTGCTTCTTTCTTTGGGTCGTTCTGTATTTTTCTTGTCTTCCTCAACTGAACCGTTTTATACATGTCTGTAGATCTGCTTGTCATGTTTATGACATGAGTGTTTCTTGCTGTCCTTCTTTCCGTATCTTTGCTCTTTATCTCGTTCGCGTGTCTCTGCTTTTTCGTTCGTTCTTGCATTCTATGTCTTTCGTTCGTGCTTTCGTTATGTCATTCGGTATGTAGTTCTTTGTGCTGGGGGGTTGTAACGTCCAATATGTCGATCTGGCCCAGGCCCATGGTATTCAAGGGTGTTACGAAAAACACAAATAAGGATCCCATCCGTACTGCCAGTACTAATGCTGCTAATAAATACTGATATCAACACTCATACTCATGCTCACACCACCATCACCACCACCACCACCACCACCAACGCCACCACCACCACCACCACCACCAACGCCGCCACCACCACCACCACCACTACCCATGCGAGGAACGCCCCCATGCACTGTTCCCACCAAATCCCACTTGAGCCGAGTAAGCCCAGGAAGCCTCGGGCCTCAGACTCTACGAAATCATCTCCCGACAAAGACTCTGGCAAATGCTGTCCACAAGAGGCTGTGCTGTGAAAAAAGCTACGAGTAGGAGCTCCTGAGTTGCCGGCCCATGTCTCGGCATGCCGTCAAGACGTGCAGCCTCAAAGATGCTTGGGGGTCCCCGCTGCCATGGTGAGGGCCTCTAACTCTAAGGACGCCGCGCCCACTCCCACTGCCCGCTCCTGTCGAAACAGCTTTCAACGGAAGGTGCACCGGAGCCACGCGACTCGAGTCCTTTCGAAGGCACTGATGACAGCCGGGATTGCCCCTGCCTAGAGCAAAGCTCCGGATGCGCTGTACTCGCGACTCGCCATGCGACAAACCCTTCTTGGCTGATGCTCACCATGGGCAGGCGGCACCCTCGAACTGCAATTCATTGGCCAACACGACAACCAAGACCCAAACCCGCTATGCCATGAGAAACGCTCTCTGAAGCCCCATGAGCTTTCGGAGCACCTGCATGGAGCTCCTCCTCACGTCCTCCAGCAGGCCAAGCCTTGGAACTTCCGGCAGAGTCTTGGTCGGATGTGGATGTGCTTCTACACTGCCAGTGACAGGAACACAACGGACATGAGACATGCAACTACCCTGAAGTTCAAGCTCACAGTCATGCACCATGGCAAAGAAGCCCAAGACTACTCTTTTCTACCCACGTTGCCGAGGGCACTTCTGATCAAATTTGTAGGCCCAATGTGGGCTGCGACCACAGCAGACTGGCCGGACAGCAACCGTTTGGAGACTCGGACTCGGAACAGTATCTGCTATAAGCCTGGTGACCCGTTCGAACATCTTGAAGAGCTAGCTGAGGGACTCAGTTTCCCTAATAAAGGAGGGCGCTTCTGCCGCAAAGGGCCGAGTCTCCAAATGTGCACGTTGCCCGCAAGAAAGTCATCGTGGCGTGCGTCAGGCCAGTGCACGCTTGGTTGACTTGCGGCGAATTACAAACAGGGGGATCCAAGCCTACACAGCGGTTTCAGGGACCGAGGCACGGAGCGAGCAGCGTGGGTCTGAAGAAAAGGCAGCTCCATGGGATGTCTTGCAAGGTCTTTTGCAATGCTTATGAAATTGAAGTGATGTTGAAGGCTGTGAAAAGGGTTACGACTCTTGAGTTTTGAGGTGCGTGTGAGGGTGTGGTGCAGCATGCATGAGCGGCAGCTCACCCGTGCAAAACCAGCTGTGGCAGCTATGTGATGTTCTGAAAGCGGTTGTGCCCGTCGCCCGGAGCTGAAACCGCGGATACCGTGCAAAGCCTTGCACCAACCGTGGCAAGGCAGGGGATATGAACAGTCCGAGGGTCCGGTCATCGGCCTCGGAGAGAGCATGTCACGACACGCAAGTGCCTTGCCTCTATGACTTGGTTCCACCACGCGTGTCGGGACATGCTAGACGAAGAAGGTATGTACAGCAGCTTGCGACAAGAATGGCTTTGCGCAAGTCCGACTTTGCATGCGGGCTTTTGTCACATGCATCCGCAGCTGCCAGCACAAGGCACCAGTGCGTGCTGGGCCTGGTGGCCACTTAAAATGTTTCGCTGCGCCAGTCTGCCGAAAAGTCAGTCCTGCAGCACAGGGCCTCACCCCTAAATGTTGGTAGGCAAATCTCCCAAGAATGGGATACAAGGGCGAGCTCCTGTCCATCTGCTCTTCGAAGCCCAACCACCTCCAACAGTGCGCCCAATGCCAACCCAACGCAAAAGCCGCACATCGAATCTACGAACCACTTGGTCACCAAGCCTCGGTGATAGTCTCACGGCAGAAGGGACAGTCGCTGCAGCGCAAGGCACAAGCCTCCTGATCCGACTCGGGGGGTTGGCGAAGCTGCAACAGCCACAACGTGCACCACATGCAGGCAAAACTCGCAGACGAAGCCGTGGCCGCATGGAACGAAGGCAGCGTCTGCCCGCGACACCAAACAAATGCAACCTCATGGGCTTGCATGGCAAAAAAGGAGGCTTGCTCGTAGCAGTTTGAATGGGTGCACTCAAGACCCAGGCTTTCTACCAGGAGAATACGACGAACCCAAACCGGTCTGGAATATGAGAGGAGCAATCATCTGCTGCTGTGACCACGGGAAGACGCACCACAGGCCCAGTCGCGCTCAGCCACGACCTGCAATGGGCAGCCAACGACAAAATAACGAAAATGCCACGCGCATTCCGCGACAACCGACCTGCCCCCAAGAACCCAAAGCCGAAGCCCGCTGGCCTCGGCAAGGAGGCCAGTAGTCGCAGCCGAATATCCTCCTCAAGTCCACGCTTTCTGGCTTTTTGTGGGCTTTCCTGGCCTCTGGACTGGATGTCCGGTCCTGGCTCTTCTTCAAAGCTTTGGAGGCACCTGAACTCTCATCAAGCTGCCACTGGAGCAAATCATAAGGGTGCTAGGGCTATGAGCATCGCTTCCCGCTTGGGTCCAGAAGTTTGTCTCAAGACTGCGACAAGACTGGGCGACTCAGCAGCTGGTCCATCTAAAGTTTCGGACGAGAGGCGCCGCCTCACTAGTACGGCAGCTTTCCGTGCAAGACGGGAGTAGCGCATCGCCCCGGAACGAAGCAGCACCTGCAGCATGTTTTTTGTTGTTTGGGACCAATATAGCCGGAGGCTGGAGGTGCTGAGAGACCGAAAAAGAAAGCGATGTACAAAGGGCGTCAACGCAATGCCAGAAACCCAGCAGCTACAGCAAAGACTATTCAAGGCGCCTGCACGGTGATTTCCGAACATTTAGATGGGCCACGAAGGAAATCTACTGCCATGAAAGAAAGCGTCCGCAAAGGGGTTGGCCGACACGACGCTACTTAAAGAAGCGGCAAACACTGCTGTCGCACCAAGAGCAGCTTCCCACCCCTCCAAAATGTGAAGAGCCGATCTTCGCCGCTGCGGCTGGTCAAGTCGACAAAGACGTAGCTGTACAGTCCACGTCAAACTACACCAACCGGCGCAATTGCCCAAAGAACATACCAGGACTTCCTGACAGCCGCCGTCCGGGCAGTGTTCTTTTTTCCACTGCACATCCCTACAGGCTAAGCCATGCAGTTGGATGAAGCAATTCATCTTGGTTGACAACGCTCTTCGTATGTTTGTAGCTTCAGAACCCTTCCAAGAAATGGAATGCCTCTTCACTGATACTGAGTACATTTCTGAGGTTAGGGTACCTTGACATACAAGTATAAGGTTCCCAAGACGCAAACATACTGGGGCCTCCATGCAGCACCGACGGAGAAAATCTTCTTCTGTCGCCGCCTGGCACGGTACAGTGGCCGAAACTGTCACACCTTCATCTTCATCTCGGATTTCTACTGCCTCGTTGTCGCCTACACGAGGAAGAAGTACCTCTTCCTCTATATCAGACTCTGTCTATATATCTATATATATATATATAGTTAGTATGACCATCAAGGCTCACTGTGATCGCACCTCCTGCACGAGGCGATGACAAGATTTGCCTTGATCATTTCAGCAATCAGCAACGGCACTCCCCACATCTCCCCACAATGTCATCAGCACTCTTCCCTAGAGCTACTGCAGGCACCGACAGTGCCTTCTAGCTCTTGCTTTGAACAGAACTCAACCCCCGGTCCCGAGCCCCGAGCGTCCCAAGCGCCAGCTCAAACTTTGGAGCATCCTCAAAGGGCAAAAGGGCGAAAAGCTGGGCAGCCCACTGGGCAGGCCCGCGTCGCAAGTTTCCCGGTCCTGGCCGTCTTCCGCACCGGCGCTGCCATCGCGCAAGAAGCTCGCCGCCCGGCAGAGTTCGAGCTGACTGAGCTGCCCTTTGGCGCTCTGCGAATCCCTAGTTGCTGCCTGAAGCACTTTAAGGCTTGATCCTAAAGTGTCTCGGTGCTCCGGAAGATAAAGCAGGCTCGTGAAGAATGCACCGCGACAAAGGGCTGTGACGCATGACTCCTGAGGGGCCCGCGCCACGATCCATTCCGAGGCGTTGCTACATGCACCTGAGCCGAGAGAGCCGTGTCGACAATGGTTGAACTTGCCGCGTAGCGAGTTTACAGACTCAACTGCTCTTCTAGTCTTGCAGCAGGTAAAGTAGGTAAAGCCAGCACTAGCAGCCACACAAACCCTTCGGCGTGGCACCGATGGCTGCAGAGAAAACCACGAAATTGGGCGTTGGGCCGCGAGCCTGCAGTCGCAATCTCACTTAGCTCTGCCCCCGGTCCCTAACGACTCTAATGAAACAAAAACAATTCGGATGGCAGAATGGATGTGCAGAGGCACCCCGGCACCTGCATTGCCACGAGAATCTGCAGTGCCTCCAAGGGCATGCCGTGCAAAGGATTGGCTTTACGGGAGGTGCTCCTGTGGAGTCCACGATTCTCTGCCGTATTCCACGAGAGGGAGGTGCACAACAGAAAGGGATTCTGGCAAGTGTGCCAAGCACCCCCAAATCTCGGCATCCACCCGACATTCCAGCAGAAGTGATTGGCGTGGCTGGGCTACGGAAGGATGCCACTCGGACCTAGCCTATCTGAGTGGATCCTGAATCCGAACAAGGTCAAGCTGCACATACAAAAGTGCAACACGCTACCTCTTAGCCTGCGCGCTCGTCTCTAGGCCTGCTTCGATGTTATTCCGACTGTCTCCATTTCTGCTGCAGGCTTATCTTCTGAGTGAAGTGTATTGGCCCGCTGCCATGAGTGCCTGCTCCCACTGCCGATCGCAGCTGGCGATGGCAGCACTGCAGGCTGCGACGGTCGGCTGCACACCTCGTTGAGCGGCAAAAACGAGAGACACCCTGATCTCTCAAGAATTGATCCAGGCAGTCACAGGGTCCTTGCACCCTCTGGGGAGCGAGCCGGCCTTCTCCATGGCGCCCAACAATCGGAACGCCTGACACCGGAGCTCTTCAAAAAGGACAGCGCGGGGGGAACATCGCCAGGGCAGTGCCTGCTCCCAGCAGTTGCCTGCCTTGCAAGCGAAGACCGCAAGGGCCTTGGCGCTCCGTACAGGTTACGACACAGCAGCCGTGAAGCAGCTGCAACTGGCACCGCAACTCTAGAAGAACCGCTGATGAAAGCGGAAACCGCCAGACTCCACGCTTTCAGATGCCGAGGAAGCGGCCCAACTCCCCTCGTCAAGGCTTGGGCCTTAAAAACAACAACACACGGTCAGGGGTTTACAGTCCGGACCCTCTGTGCCCGCCAGCTCTGGGATCGGCGCTGGCCAGCGCTACCGAAAGGCCCTGCTTCCAGATATTGTGGACAGATCTCTCTAGCGCTAGACATTCAGAGAGGACTCCACAAGCCTCGCAAGCCTCGCAAGCCTCGCAAGCCTCGCCTCCTCCCATCGGCCCGCTTGGATGCAGGCGTTGGCGGCAGCGTTGAAACCTTCGAAGGAACAAAAAATTGAAGGCCACTTCCCGAAAGACCGGGCCACGGCCCTGCGGCGCCTGCCGTCATTGCTCCGGTCTCCAAGGAGGCCGCACAGGCCATGGCCAATATCCCAAGAGCCTCGGAGGAGCAGGAGGAGGATTTACGTGTATATTCTTATGGTTATGCCGTCATTATCATTGCCATTATCATCGTTATTAATGTTATTAATATTGTTGTTATTGTTAGCATTATTGTTGTTGTTGCTATTGCTATTCGTATTCTTATTATTGCTGTTATTCTCTGTACTACTAGTATTTTTGGTATTCTTATTTTTAGTATTCTTATTTTTAGTATTCTTATTGCTTGTTATTGTTCTATTCTCACCTCGAAGCCTCGCGGGGCCCGGGCGCTTTGCCAGAGCTCGCCCCTGGCGCAGGCCGTGAGCCCGGCCGTGAAGGAGACCGCCGTCGCCTCCGTCACTCAGCCCCTCCGGGTTTAGGGTTCTTAGGGTCTTAGGGTTTTAGGGCTTTAGGGTTTTAGGGTTTTAGGGTTTAGGGTTTAGGGTTTAGGGTTGCTCCGCTCGAATTTTTTTGAGAGACACTAGGAGAGAATTGAACCGGGAGGGAGAGTGAGAGTGAGAGGAGTGTGGAGAAGGAGTGAGAAAGTGACATGGCCCTTGCTCTTTTCACTGCGGATGCGTTCACACCTTCTCAGGCTTCACACTTCCTTCAGCATCGCTGCAGCGCGAACTTCACAACGAGAAGGTCAGATACGAAACTCTGAACATGTCGGCTTTCAAGGAATGGCCCTGCTTGGTCGCAAGCGAAACAGCGGACCCCTGCATCTTCTTCAGTTGGGTTCAAAGCACCTCAGGGCCTCTGCTGAAAAGTGAAATCGAAGGGAGGATCTGACATGAATCACTCCAGTCATGCCGTGCCCGCGTGTGGGTCGTGGTCGGCATAGCACCAGAGATAGAAGCTGATGGCTTGGGCGACTGTTGAACTTGCTCAAGGCCGAATGCATTGTACTCCCCGAAGCGCATCGGACACGCACGGCGCTGGTGCAGGCATCGCCTTGTTTATAAGCTGGACCAGCTCGAAGAAGCCAAGAAAGCCTGTCGGCGTTGCCACAACCTCTTCGCCTCTTCGAGCTGGTCGTCGAGCTTGTAAGGTATCAGAGCATGTGCCTTGCACAAGCCGAGATCCGAGACCTCACCAGATCGGGACTCTCGGGGTATCACGTTCCTCTCGACTTTCTTTTGCAGAACTTGAACTCCGAAACATGCAAGCCCCCTCCGCTCCCCCTATCTGCGGGAGCCGGAGGGCGGGGGCAGGAGAATAGAGACCGCTACTTGTAGAGTTCTTGTGAGAGTCAAGAGCCTGCGGGATTGACGCATCCGGCCCTCAACCCTCCAAAAGCCAGTGCTAAGCCGCTCCTGCAGGCCGCGGGTGCTCGCCAGCTGCGCGAAAAGCTGGAGGCCAAGCCTGTGCTGCCGTCTGAGAAATCTTCCAACAGCCAGTTGCAAACGAGGGTATAAACAGCAGAATGCCAGTACAGCCTTACCCGGCACTCTCTCTCTTGCTTGCTTGCTTGGAAGAGATTCGGCACCTGTTCGTTCCGAGATAGTCCCCGTACCCCTCTCCCTCTCTCGTCATGGCTAAACTGTGAGACAACCGGTCCTCCATTGATCTGCCTTGGTAACGGCAGCGATCGCTGAGTTGTAGGTGACCACCTGGGACGGCCCGGTCTCCAATCTCCCGTTGAGGCGACCTGAGGCCCCCCTAAAGTCGAGTGCCGAGCATTCGGCTCTCCGTGGAGTCCCTGTTGAGCCTCCATTAGGGTTTAGGGTTTAAGGTTTAGGGTTTGGGCTCCATGGCTCCAACTCCCAGCTAATGCCAATACACTTCAAAATCGTCATCCCAGGCTCCCCCCTGAACGCTCCACCGCCTGATCGAAGAGATGCAGAGCCCAGCACCACTCGTTGCCTTCTGGACTTCACCCAGCAGTTTACTTGCAACTTGTAGTCTGGACGACAGCAACTGGCCTGCTCCGCATGCCGCCAAGGCGGAATTGAGCGTCCTGCATCTGCGACAAACATCTGCGAAACACAGACAGACCACCCCACCTTCCGTGCACTGCAAGAATGGTCCCTGAACGCGTAGTCTGCCCGGTAACTTTCTGAATGTCGGCATTGAACATCATCGAGGCAAGAAGCGTGCTGGTCGCTTGCTGACGGGGGAGCGCGAGTTTGGAAATTCACATGAAGCAATCCTGATTCCAGGATCCAACGTCAGCTCCTCCGCCTGGCGAGGCGGCTTGCGGCGTTTCTCACCCTATGATTTGAGGCCTTTAAATCGGAAAGGACTGTTGTGAGAGATCTTCAAGCCGACCGCTCGCGACTCCTAGAACAGAATTCAGCAGAGTCTGTCAACAATGAACCCAAGGATGGACAGGCGACAGCGTCGACAGGGCGGGGGCATCTGTTGACATGCAGGGTGTAACGGGGATCGAGCCCGAAACCAACTCTGATGCATTTTCTCTGTACATCAAGCCGCAGCCGCTGTACAGACGAGATTGCAGGCAGGCTCCGGAAGGATTTCAGCCGGCAAACGAAGCGACTCACTCCTCAATGACAAGACTCAAGGTACCTATCACGCAGATGCGCTGCGGCACTGGGACACCTGCCACTGCCAACTGCAATCCACGACCCCACATAATGAAGCCTCCGATCACTGCCGTCCCGTATCCCGCAAAACTGATCGGACTGAAATCCTCCGGATCCTGCGAGTTAACGCCCCGAAGCTTAGCACATGCAGCACAGTTGGAATCATCACGACTGCTAGGTAATTTAATTACATTGCATTTATACGGACCTACAAAGAGAAAGCGGATGGAACGGAAGAAGCTCTCGAGGTGTCGCACAAACGGCCAAGCAGACGCGGGGCTGGTCTGGGTGATCTGCAGCAACGTTTTGTGTAATTACAACTACGGCATCAATGCTTCGTGAGCTGGGGACAGTCCATTACATTATGACGTCCTGTTAGCTAAACTGGTTTTTAACAGAGTCAGGCTATAAGCATCAAGGCAGAACCTAGCATCTGCTGGTCGTCCTGCCCTAGTCTTGGCCATGGCTCACGCAGCCCGACTTTTGTACAGAGCCGAGATTCTGAGCTACGCTCTTGCACGGACCACAACGCGGACGACATTCACATCTCGACATCTCTCAGCAATCCTGCATGCTACTTCGATTGGACAGAAGCACCCGGTGATGCTGAAGACATGTCTTGTGGAGTTGACCGGAACATGTCCGGACGTTCGCGCGAGCTTCATGACTTTCCGTCCATGAGCTATCATAGACTGGAGTCAGAGATGGTCAGAGGAAAGCCAGCGCTCGACAGTCCGATCTCTGAATCGTCCCTCCGACGGACAACACCGTCCTCTCAAGCACGATGCAAGCTATCATGGAGCCTGCGGGGTTGGCGACTATGTTGTCAGACTGAGAAGACGTGCGTTGGTGCAGACCCCGCATTGAATTACTTGACTCCTGCAGGCATCGAAGCAGCTCAAGAGCCTGGCGGACTTCAGCAAGCGCAAGCGCCCCTCGGCCTCTCTCTTCATGCGAAATAATCGCATTCACACGCTACTCCCTGGCTTGGACAGTCCAAATCCTGCCAGGCTCTTAGCAGCCCTCGAGGAGTCAGGGCTCTAGACCCACATGCCTTCCACGCCATGGAACTCTGCAAGAACACGTGGGCCAGCGTATGTACAGTGAAAAAGCGTGGCGCTCGGACAGAGCTGCACAGGAACTTTCGAGTCGGAGGCTCGAGATAGCGGTCTCAAGCTGCCGACCCTTCAGTCATAAGCCGGGGCTCCATCTCGAACACGTTCTGTCTGGCTGATCCAATTCTTTTAAGTGCAGTAGCCTCCAACTTCTCGATCTCAAGGCACTTGAAGCTACTGAAGCATGGCATTGACCACAATGTCTACACTTTAGATCAGCCATCACTTTGGAATTCCAAGAAATCTCTGCATGGCAATGGAGCTTGAGGTCACTCCTTGGCAAGCGCTGAAGAGCACTCTGCCGAGCCGAGTTATGTGCCTGCGATTGCCTGCGTGAAACCTGCGTCTAGAAATGTCAACGAGCAACTTCATCCGACGCCTCTATAGACTCTATAGCTTCCGGGCTGAAGCTGATCCACACCACTTACGTCGTGCAAGCCAGGCATCACGTGGATGGCACCCGAAAGCACCGAGAGTGTTTTCTGCACAGTACCTGCGCACGGAAGCGCCCGGGAAGGCAGCTCAAAACTTGATCCAAGTCCCCAATCCACAATATGGGCCGGGCTAAGAAGACATAACGCCCACTGGAGAGTGATAAGTGATAGCAAGAAGACGAAGAACGAGGACAGGAAGTAGGACTGCGACCACAACAACGAAGCGGCAAGGACAGTGAGCGACAGAAGACCAACGATCTTGAGGAATCTTGAGACAGGGGCCGTTATGAACATCAGCGATGATCCCCATGCGCCTCACATGCAAGAAGCCGTCATCAGCACTCCAGCGCTCATAAAGGTCGCCCATTCGATCGCTGCTCTTCGGCATGACACCATCAACCTAACACACAAGGCCAGCTACCTTCAGCTTTTGGCCCACGGGTTATGTGAGGTTTGAGGCTAAGCGTAGCTGGCGAAGCTACTGTTAAGACCATATCCACTGCCAAAGGGCTCGGTGGTGACTGGCGGTTGCAGGTTACAGTACCAAACAAAGCCCCGGATGCTAAGGCATAGGGAGGACTACAAAATTGTCTGCTGAGGATCACAAACCCTCTTGCATACCACAGATGACTAGTGCCCGCCGAAGTTCCTACGGTCAAGGCTTTACTGTACGAGCTCAAATGCAAGGCGCGCAGATGCCTAAGCAAGGGACGAAAATGTAGAGCGTCTGCTCGGCGTTGGCAGATTGCTTGCCGATGGCCTGCATGACCTGTTGCCAAAAGCCATCCCTGAGTTTCGCAAGTCCGTGGCGGCCTGAGCCCGGCGCATGCTTGTGCACCATGTACTTGAACTCCCCGCAGAGCATGCTGCAGGCCGGGCACGAATAGACAGGAACATGTCTGGACATCTTTAAAGGGCAGCTTCGATTCACCAAAAACTAGCATGCGCCTGCCGGGCACAGCGAACTTTCGCTGGCTGATCTTCGGCAAATTCCTGAGTCACAGACACGGTAGGACAGACTACGGGAAGCCGGAAAACAAACAAGGAAGCTCCGAGTGTGTCCGAGTCTCGCATGTCGGGAAGGTTCACACAGGACTGGCACACGGTCTAGTGGAATCCTCACGAAAGATCATTCGATCAAGCAGCAGGTCTAACCCTCCTAGATAAGACACCCCAGGTCACACCAGAGACGCAGCAAGCAACGCCCCTGAATCTGTAGGCTTAGACTTAGATTTTGCATGTTGGCAAAGTGCATCGCAAGAAAGTCAGACACTGCAGGGTGAGAAGAGTCCTGGCCCGCAGCCGCACGACCTCAAAGCAAGGATCGCATTGCTGCACACTGGGCAGTGGAGCTCGTTTACAAGAACACGGAAATGGGAACACTGCACAAAGATGGGCGGCATTGCAGCAACCATTAAAAAGTGAACTACTAGCAATTATTTCCCATTCCGCCGACGACAACAACACCAACGGCAACAGCAGCAGCGACAATTACAACCACCACGGCCACGAGGAAGACCACTCGGACGAGAAAGACGACGGCGACGACCACTGCAGCAGCAACCGAAGCGGCAACAGCGACCACAACAACACCAACAGCATCAGCGGGAACAGGAAGAGCAACAGCTGCACAGCAACGACAAGAACGAGCAAGACAAGGAGGAGGAGGAGGAGGAGAGGAGGAAGAGTGGGAGGGGGAGGAGGAGGAGGAGGAGGAAGAAGAAGAAGAAGACGAGGTGGGGATGATGATGATGATGATCTGAAGGAGACTAAACAACAGCAAGATATGACAATCATCATGCATGTTCTACTAGCGATGTCGAGTCTGTAAGGTCGAACCTCCTCAGGAGGTGGGCGCGGAACCTCTCGCGACATCGCCTGCATCTGGTGTCATGCTGCACCAACAACTGCATTGCAAGATGATGCTTCTTCTCGCCCTCTCTACTTTGCAACTTTCAAAAAGCATCTGCACAAGACAGTATACCGTATGCCGCTTTGTCGAACTCTGTTATCTTAAGTTATTTTGCACACAGTCTTGTACACAGGGAGACAGAGACAGAAACAAAGTGGGAGAAGAGTGGGAGAGAGAGAGAGAGAGAGGGTTTATGGCTTAGGGCTTAGGGTTTAGGGTTTTAGGGTTTGGGGGGAGGGCTGGAGAGACAAGTCCGCATTCCCTCCGGCCTGGCTGGCGAGGCCCGACTCAGTTGCCAAGGTCTCACACTAGAAGCACTGGAATTAGAAGGTGGGATCACATAAGTTGGCTTGGTATAGTAAAGTATCGTACAGTATAGTGTAGCATAATATAGTAGAGTAGAGTAGAGTATTGTAGAGTAATTATGGTTTCATTGAATACTTAATGTTGCGGTTCTGCCCCAAATTGGGGTCCGGCTTCAGGCATTGACTTTCGGCAGAGCTCGTCATTGTTGAATGCCAGCAAAGGACTTGCAACTATAGCGTGAATACGCACAGCACATCATCACGTCATGTAACAGACTGCTAGACTACAGAAAAAATACAGCCACATATATAAGTGCTGTCCACGGCACCCATTTCTTCAGCTTCCTGCGCACGGGCGCGGGAACCTGCAAGGCATTGAGCGTGCCGCCAGCCCTACCATCCTTGCTAGCCACTAACTATCATTGATGCCTTGTCCTCTAAGTCTTTGGCCTGCTCACACTAAGAGCCAAGGATCCTCGGCACAGCCTCCTCGCCTTGCTTCTCACGTCGGCTTTGCGACTCTGCCCAAACTAGTTACATCACTTGAGATCACTTTAGAACTGGACTAGAAAGCGATTGAAGCTTGTGATTTTGGTCTTCCCGATTCTCCTTTCACCCTGCCAGGCCCTGCCTGTTGGCAAGCATCCAAATCCAAGCTGGCACTCTTCTGCAGCAGCTTTCGGCAACCTTCCTCCGCCAAAGCACCTGCGAGACATGCCATCAGGCAGAATCCCGTGTTCGGCAACGGGCCTGGCCTGCCAGATGGACGCCTTGAAGGCCCCTGCACATTGTGCACCCTTCACAGATCCCATGGCTTCGGCTTCGGTCTTGCTGAGCCTGTCGACGGCCCAATCGGCCAAGTGAAGGTAGACGGCCCCAGCCTGACTGAGCAGCGCCGCAGACTGAGCAGCGCAACAAAAAGGGGCCAAAGCGCGAAAGCACCCGCCTTCCGAGCTACGGCTCCAGCGGTGTCATCCCTGGAGGTGGCATACCTCAAGGAAGGCGCCCAAAGGAGCCGAGCCCCCCCCCTCAAGTTCCTTCCTCTTCCTCTCATTCTGGCAAAGCGTCATTGCTGCAGTTCCCAGGACAAGGCCCGAGACGGGGTTGGCGAGCCTCGGCTCTTTGCAGCTGACGAGGCAGATTTTAAGGAAATGCCCAAGAACCTGCCTCGAATGATTCTGGCGCTTTGCTGGAAGACTCACTCTGGATCGCGGCTTCAAGCTGCAATCCATAGCTTCGGTTTGCAGCTGCAGCGATGAGTTTGGATTTAGCATCGGATGCGCAGTGGGCGCGGACCTGGACTTGTTCAACATGCTCCTTTCCAAGAAACGCTCGCCGCCCATGGGCTCCCAGAAAGGTCCGATGTTCAAACAAAGGCACGGACTCAGTGCTGCTTCTGATGCATGCACCGTAATCAAGCCCAGTAGCATCAAGCCAGCTGTGCCACCGATGGAAGCGGCAGCGCCCATAATCCTGGCAGGAATGGGACAGTTCCGGCCCGTTCCGGCCCAGGAGGCCCCCAAATTCCCAAAAGAAAAGAGTCCCGAGACCCCGACCTGCGGTCGTGGTCCGAGCTGGGAGTCCCTGAGGGCAGCCAGGGCAGATCCATCACTGACTCCGCCATGTCGCCTCGGCTCTGTCCGAGAGAGTCAAAAGAGATGCAAAATGCAACGCAGGCTGAGCGCCGTGCCCTCCGGGCTCGGATGCTCGGTCAATTCCTGGAGATCTACCAAGTGAGATGTTCACGTATCCAACCGGAGGGCAGCTGAAAGGAAGCGTCCCACAGTCATCTGCGGCACTCTCTCGAGGCGTCACGTTCCGCTGCAACTACTTAGTTGCCAGGCGGGGAACCGGCGCTAGTGGTACTTGTGCTTCATCGTCACTCGCCTGACAGCGGAGGAACGTCTAAGTGGAGTCATCGCATCGACTGCAGACAGAGCCTTGTCACTGCCCCGATCTTCCTTTGCGGCCTCCTGCTCACGGCTTGTCTCTCAGGGAGCGACACAGGGAGCAGAAGGACAGTCCTCCGTCTCTTGGCGCGTCCTCTCCGGAGCCATCGTTGCGGTGCCGCAGGGAAGGAAAGGAACTTAAATACCCGGTCCACTGTCGATAACGAATGAACAGCTGGCTCACGGATGGTCACCGTGTTTACACTCCGGGTCATGCAAGGCTGTCAGGACCGCTCTGGCACCACACTCTAAAAAAGGCGGCAGCACATGAACTCTCATTCTGAACACCCCTTGGGTTCTCAGGCAGGAACGTTGGGTCCTTCTGAAAAAAAAGGGCAACAGCATCTTTTCGAGGTGATTCAAACCGGAGCCTACAGTGCCAACGGGCTACATAATGAAGAGGAGACGATTGCGAGCAGGGCTCGCAGCACGAATCAACACAGGCGAACAGAGCGGAGGAGTGGCTTCACCCGATTCTCTTACTGGACGTGGTACCGACAGTCGTTCCGGGATTCCGGCTTGATGGAAACCTATAGAAGCGAGCGGTAAGCCAACCCACAAGTTGGATTCTTCCGCTTCGCATATGCGCGCTCCTTCATACTGCTTAAGGCCACAGCAAACATGAAAGCCATGTCGTGCGACCAACCCTGCTCAACTTGTCAAGTTCAGCTCATCTGTTGGATTCTTCTGCTCCGCATCTGCGCCCTCAGTCATGCTGGCTAAGTCAAAACGTCATCCTCCGTTGATAGGCAACACCCAAGCAGGTGATGAGACTCAAGACGGCAAGTTTATCTCACCTGCGGGATTTTCTACTCCGCATCCGTGTCCTCAGTCATACTGGCTAAGTCAACACTCAACTCAAGCAAGCCATCAAGAGCAGTCAACATTACAAGATCGACTCATCTGCTAGATTATGGCTGCTCCGCATCTGTGCCCAGGGCATGTGGGCGAAACCAAAATGCCATGCTCATCAACCGCACCAGCCAAGCAAGTCATGGGAACAACCCAGTTCAACTTGACAAGTTCAGCTCATCTGTTGGATTCTTCTGCTCCGCATCTGTGCCCTCAGTCATGCTGGCTAAGTCAACATGTCATCCTCCTGTCCTCATCAACAACGATTCCCAAGCAGGCCATGCGAACAACCGCTTTCGACATCACAGCTTAGCTCATCTGTTGGATTATTCCGCTCCACATCTGTGCCCTCAGTCATGCTGGCTAAGTCAACATGTCATCCTCTTTCACGGTACTGCCGAAGCATGCAGTTCGCGCCGCATATACTAATGAACATGACACTCTCGGCTCATCTGCTGGATTGCTCGGCTCCGCCGCTGTGCTCTATCACACTGGCGAAATCATGTAGCCATGCTCTCCTCAACCATGGCACCCAAGCAAGTCACACAGTCAGCAGCATCCCGTTTCAGCTCGTGTCTTGGATTCTGGAAGGCACATTTTTGGTTTCCGGGTTCTTCAAGGGGACCATCTGTGGGGCTTGAGGTGCCAACGAAGGATTAAGACTTCGTTGAAACTGACGCATCGATGTAGGGAAAATGCCTTAGAGGAGCCGATTCAACCCTGCAAAAGCCTTCGCCACGAAAGCTCCCAATGATTAGCCCTGGTACCACAGCCACCGACGTGATGAGATATGACAGGGTGTTTGGCAAGATGCCTGCACTCTCGTCTACGTTGGCTTGCGGACATCCTCGAGCGTATCGTTCTACTGCTCAGTGTCTCCCGAACAATGGAACCCTTGACACTGCAGATGCTGGCCCACCTCAGCGAGCAAAGCCAGGGAATATTGCCAGCAGCTGCCCCTGCACACCAAGGTCCGAACATCATCCGAAGACTCAAATCCTTTCTTGGTATCGAGAAAAAGGGTTCACGGCCTTTGACCCCAAAAGTTTCCGGATGTTGGAGCGGGCACCAGCCGTAATGTTACGATCAGTGTGGAACCTGTCAGCTCTCTTGACCATCCTTGGCCCAAGTACAACGACCGAAACAAAACGTGTCTCCAACAAACTAAACACACGGAAGAACCTCGCTTGCCTCTCTGCAGCCCGTCCGGGGCTGAGCGTTCCCCAGCACACGTGTCTCTGATCCTATCTAACAGCTGCAACATCTAGCTTCAAGCAGGGTCAGTGTCGACACCATGCCCTGCTTTGGCCTCTCGCAGGCACTGACCGCGGCACCTCAGGCGAGTTTTTGGCGCTCGCCCCGCACCCCTCCCTTTCCCGAGGTCCTGGCCATACACGATGCCATCAGCCTGCAGGCGTCCCTGCAAAGAGGTGCGGAACCTAAGCCCAATGTCACCGAGATCTTGATGGCGCGTCATGTGTAGTCTGTGCTCACAAATCAGCCGGAAGCCAGGCCAAAATCGATAATCAATGCGCTGTAGCGAGATCCGACACCCAGTCAAAACGGAAACACACCTGCGACTTGACTCGACACCTTTCTCAGCCGACTTGTCAACAATCCGACCAGACCTTCGGGTAGAATGAAATTGACTATGACCATGACGGTGGTGAGGGATGCGGCGATGAGAACGAGGATGATGACGCTCATGGTGATTGTAGTGCGGGTACGATACCATTGAAGACAACGCTATCACGCTTCTAGATGGGTATGGTAAGCACCACCGCTACCACCATCACCACCGTCCTCCGCTCGCCACCGTCTCCCCGTCGCAGCACCACAAGCACAGCACAGCGGCACAAGCACCAACAGCGCTAAGGGCCCAACAGCTGGAGAGCTTCCTCCCACTTGCTCCTGAGATTTCAGCTATCGCAGGCATGTACCACTCGCACTGCGCAAGAGTGCTAAAAATAAACGTTGCTTGCCGTTGCTGTGACAGGAACTGCGGCAATCAGCTGGCCTCCTGCGAAACTCTGCCACAGCCTGCGTCAAGTCCTGCATCGCTCTCAAGTAGTGAAGATGGGGAAGAAGGTGGATGATGTTGGATGAGGGTGATGACGCTGCTGACCGTGGCGGGGTGGCGGTGGCGGTGGCGGTGGCGGTGGCGGTGGCGGTGGCGGTGGCGGTGGCGGTGGGGGTGGTGGCGGTGGTGGTGGTGGTGGTGGTGGCGGTGGTGGCGGTGGTGGCGGTGGTGGCTTTGGTAGGGGGTGGCGGCGGCGGCGGTGGTGGTGGTGGCGGTGGCGGTGGTGACGATGGTGAGGATGGTGAGCATGGTGAGGATGGTGAGGATGGTGATGATGGTGATGATGGTGATGATGGTGATGACGGTGATGCTGACGATGCTGGTGACGATGGTGATGATGGATGATGGTGATGGGGATGGTGATAGTGGTGCTGATGTCGTGATGAGGAGGAGGAAGAGGAGGAGGAGGAGGAGGATGGGGACGATGATGATGGTGATGAGGATAATGAGAATGATGAGGACGATGAGGACGATGATGATGATGAAGATGGCGATGATGACGATGATGATGATGATGGTGCTGACGATTTAGGCCGTGATTCGTGGATAACGACAACCCAGCGAAGAAATGCTTGCAGAATGCAGTCCACGTGCATACACGCATCTCATGCACCCCAAGCCCGCTTGTAACGGCCCGCGGTGTCTTTCGGAGTGTGTGGGACCGTACCGGTAGCGGCACCTGTGATCATGAGGGGCTTCGCCAGAAAGTTGAGAGGCACTAGCATATAACTGCTTGATAACTGCTTGAATCCTTGAAGTATTGTCATTAGGTTCTAGCATCTTACATAAATGCTATACATAGCGGTGGGAGTTGGCATAACCGCGACTATGACAATGATACCAAAGGTGTCAAGTACATCCATACTGAATGCGGACTTCACGGCCATGCAGCTCTACGTCTTTTAAATTTGTGCCTGGTTGAAACACTGAATGTTACACATCCAGGTGCCTGTCTGTTTCACGTATCATTTGCATGTATCCATGCCTGTTGCCTGTTGCTCAAGGTTCTACTTGTAGCAGAGTACGATCTACAGTTGTGCGCCTGTAGCAAAAGAGACTCCTGTGTTGCCTGTGTTAAGGCACGTCTCGCGCCAAGGCGGGGGGGGGCATGATGACGTGCTTTTTTTAAGAGCACATCCATTTACTCGGCATTTACGGTACTGTCGTGATGTTGTAGTCAATACCAACGATGATGATGACGATGGGTTTAGGCGCCAGGTAGTTGGTAGGAGGGGTGGCTAGTAGTAGTAGTAGTAGTAGTTGTTGTTGTTGCTGTAGCTGTAGTTGTTGCTGGTGGTGCTGGTGCTGGTGCTGGCTGGTGCTGGTG